TTATCTACACACGCTGCAGTGAGGGCCCAGCTGGTGGTGGCGATGGTCAGCAGCTGTGCGGCGGACACCTTGGGGACCATCCCCCGCCCCCAGACGCACAGGTCGCCTTCAGGGCCCCTGGCTTCTTAGGACAAGGTCTGAGAGGGGAGGAGCTGATTCAAAGGGCACATATGTTTTAAATTTTAATACGTGCTGCCAGGTCCTGCAGAAACGGGCCCTTGGACTCTATGGAGAGCGCTGGAAGGAGCACCTTCCCTGCCCTGGGGCCTGGACTGTGCCCACTCGCTGTGCCTTTTTCCTTCCCCTGGCCCCGGGCCTCAGAGGGACTCCAGCTCTGCCCCCGCCCCTCCCCCTGCCGCCGCCACCGCAGCCCACACAGTCCCGGGGCTTGGGTGGAGCAGGTTCCTGCTGGGCCCACCACACACCATCTCGTCCCCATGGTTCAGGCCCTGCCAACCCACTGAGGAGTCCACTGAGACACGCCATCCTGATGCCGCTGGCCAGAGGCCAGCAGAGGAGAGCGCTGCGCGCCATGACGGGGAAGCTGGGACTCGGAGTGTTCGGGCTATGTTGCCCAAGTCTCCTCAGACCCAAACCCAGGCCTGCACGCCACCCTCACGGGGAGGCCCGGAGCTTCACCTGCCAACTTCACACCTACTTCCACCCCTTCCCCTCTCCAGGTTCGCCCCAGTCACCCCTCGCCTTCTCTGCCTGGGGCCCCCACCCCTGCGCCTGACACCCACACGCCCACTATAGTGAGTCCCTGCCTAGATCCACACGAACAAGGAAGCAGGTGGAGGCCCAGGGTCAGAGGGAGGGTGTGGAGGCAGATCCTATATCCAGGCCCTGTTTGCCCAGACCCTCCCCGGCCACGCTCTCCTTCACCAGACCTGAGGGTCTGTGGCTAAGGCCCAGGGGGACCAGAAGGCTCACACCCATACGACCCCTGGACCCCTGACACTTGCTTCTCTGCTGTCCATGCTCAGAACCACTGCTGCTGGGTTGTCTGTGGCTGAGGCACCGACGTGTCCTGTCACTGCTAATGCGTCCGGGCACCCCCGGTGCCAGCGCCACGCTGGGCCCTCCTGCCCTCTGGAAGCCCCCAGTGCACACGGGGAGGCAGGCAGCCAGGGGAGAAGCAGCCGCAGGGGGCACACGTCCCCTAGTGGCACGGAACCCACGTGCGCCTGGAGACCACACGTGAGCATTGGCAGCCCCGGATGGGAAGCACCTGAAACGTCCAGCATAACTAAATAAACTGCAGTCTGTTCATTCAGTGGGACTTTCCACAGCAGGCGTTGACAAACGCATTCTGCAAAGGGCCAGACAGTAAATATTTTATGCTTTGCAGGCCATATGGTCTCTATCGCAAAGACTCAACTCCGCCGACGGAGGGCAAGAGCAGTCATAGATGATCTATGAACGAGTGTGCGTGGCTCTGTTCCAATAAAACTTTATTTATGGACACGGAAATGCGAATATTGTATAATTTTCACATGTCGTGAAACACTCTTCTTTTGATTTTTTTCCCCCAACCATTAAAAAATCTAAAAACCATTCACAACTTGCAGGCCAAACAAAAAGGCCATGCGCTGGGTTTAGCCCGTGGGCTGTGGTTTGCAACTCCTGCTCTTTAGCAGTGAAAATAAACTTCAGCCACACCATCAACTGGATACATCTTCAAAAACATAGCAGTGAATGAAAGAAGCAGGTCACCAAAGAAGATACACAGTACCATTCTGACGATACATACAAAGGTCAAAAACAGGTAAGACTATATCGCAGGGAAATGTAGTAAGGGGAGAGGGGTGCTTTGAGGGGCAGCACAGTGGCTGAGGCACCTGAATGTTCTCTTTCTTGACCTGGGTAGTAGTCACACGGGACTTTGTTTTATGAAATGTGTTGTACGTTCCTGTATGTGTGTTATATGTCACAACTTCAAACGAGAAAGCAGTGACGGTAGGACCTATAGCCACGGCGTCTGAACCCCTACCTGAGAGGCACTGGCAATCCGCCTGGAATTACAGCCCAGCGCAGGTCGGGTCCCCCTGCCCTGCTGGGGGCTGCAGCTCTGCAGTCAAACCTCGCCTCTCGCGTCCCTCGTGGCAGCGCATCTCTGGGCCTCCCAGCCTTTACCCCTGCTGGGCCTGCCGCCCACCTGCCTGGTCTCTCTCCCTCCTCTCTCACTCCCTGCCCCTCCAACACTCCCCCTGCCCCACCTCCCGCAGAAGGGTGCTTCCCCTTGCCCGCCTCCACAGCTCTTTATTGATGAGACAAAGATGAAAGGCAGGGGCCAGTGCTGTGAGAAGGAGGCAGGAGGCTCCTGACTGCCTTTTGGACATCAAAGGGGGCGATGGCACCTGAGTCAGAGCAAACGGGACCGACTGGGGAGGCAAACCTGCGCCTGGAACTCCCGCCTCCGGTCAGGGGTCATTTCTCCAGGCACATCTCCCTGTTTCCATCAGGCTGAGAGCGAGCACTGGGGCTTGTTCACCTCTAAGCTCCCCAAGGGCCTAGAACGGTCCTCCTCCATGGATATTTGAGAAATAACACAGCCCGGAGTTCGGCAAAGGCCCGGGAGAGAAAGAAGACTGGCATTGGCTGAGGACATCAAGGCTCAGGAAGATGAGGTGGCTTGCCTGAGCTCACACAGCAGTCCATGGAAGAAGGCGGGACTTGAACCTGGTCTGCCCGGCCCCAAAGCCCTTGGAGGTGACCGAGGTCTGGCGGCAGCAAGGCTAGAGCAGGTGTGCGGGCTCAGGAAGCTCACCTCTGCGAGAGCAGCTGCCCACGAGACCCCAGGTGGCTGCCGGGCCTTCTGAGGAAAGCAGAGTTTGCAGAGGGCTCAGGAGAGCCGAGGAGAGCAGGCCTGAGGCCTGGCTCACCGCAGAGGGCCCCGAGGCGCCATCCCAGGGTGTGCTGGAGGCCACCGGAAAGGTCAGAGCCACCAGAGGAGCCCGAAGGCTCATCCAGATGACAACTGAATCTCGCATTTCAGTCGGCTTCAAAGGCCGGCAGGCGCTACCCCTCTGAACCCTATCCACATGGCCTAACCACCGGTCTCACGTGCTGGCAGGCACTGCTGTCACACCATCTAACAGATAAGCCACTTGACGCACAGCGGCGTTGAGAACCAGTCCAGGGTCTTGGGATGAGTTGCGGAACAAGTTCAAACCCGGGCTGATCGCTCCTGGCCTGCCCTCGACCCTGCATCTCACGGCGGTTTAGGCATCACCAGGCTGAGGGCTGAAGTCAGGGGAGGCTTAGGGGACGTGGGAGGGGCCGGGTTCCTTCGTCCAAGCTCAGAGACAAGGGGGGAAGGGTGTGCCGCCACAGGGGCGGAGCTGCAGAGGCAGGACCGGGAGTAATGGGGTGCTGTGGGTTGCTCCAAGAGGTTTCAGGGACCACAAGGCTGACTTCACCTCTTGTGAAAGAGCAGTTTCTTTTTTTTGTAGCATTTGCTGCAATACAGGGGGAAATCTGTTGTTTGTTTGCAGTCAAGATGGTTACAAAATCGACTTCGCAGCGGCACCTGCAAAGCCTCTTCCAGATTCCGGGATGTGGCTGGTCCCTTCTGGGGAGGAGGGACCACATGAAGAGAAATGATGGGAATTTGGGGAAATTAAGTTAAAAATGGCTAAATGTGAGTTCAAACGCATCGTCTCCTCAGGCCGTCTTTGCACTGGCCCATGTCTCAGGGGTGGGAGGTGGTGCGAGGTGGCCAGACTGAAGGACAGACGTCACCAGGGGCCTAGGTTTCCAGGCCTGCAACATGTTCGGCTCCTGCCTGACGGGGGTGGGGAGGAAGGGGAGATTTTTCCTTGAAGAACGTTTTTTACAAAGAAAGGCGAGAGGAAGCTCAGAGCCCATGGCCAAGAGTCCTAGCTCTGGGCTCAGGCTGACCCGGGTCTGAACCTGACCTCTATTCAGCCGCTAAGCCTTGGACACGCTACTTGGCCTCTGCCAGTCTCCATTTCCTGTTCCTCAACAGTACCAGCAGGGAGAGCACCCCAAGGGCGTCTTGAGGGGCGCCGGGTGTCAGGGTGAGTGCGAAGCTCAGAGATTCATGATAATAGCAGCTGTTATTGTTCACATATAAACAAAAGGTAGAGGAAGAAGCGGAGTGGGGCAGCTTCTGGAAGCCTCGTCCAGGTCTGGGTGAAGAGGAGGCACTGCCGGAGCCTGCACCGCGGGGGGAGGAGGCGCCGGTCAGCGCTGCCCAGGAAGACACTGAGCCGAGGGACCCAGTGTGGGCAGCCCCAGCGAGGCACACTCCCGCGGCTTCCCTGGCCTGGATGAACTCACCCCAAGGCCACCCACCCCAGGTCCTGACTTGGATTGGCGCCACCCAGCTTCCAAAGGGGCTTGGGCCCAGGAAGGGGGCCACTGCGTTGGCCCCCCGAAAGGCCTAGCTCCCACTGTAAAATAATGATGTAGCCTCTGGTCGTCTTTCAGGAAGTGGGTGGTGCCATCCTTTCTGGTAACGGTGACAATTTTGTGCTCCAGATTACAGTGCCCTGGTGGCCAGCTGCTGGCCTCCCTTCCTCTCCCAGGCTGACCCGGGCAACAGCACCGAAGGTGGCTCTGCCACTTGGCAGGTTCGACGCCCTGCTCCTACCTTGGATTCCTGGGGGGTGAGCTATCCCTCCCCATTGACCCCCCCACCCGGCCCCAGTGCCCTGGCTGCAGCAGAGCCCACCCACCTTGTTTAAGGGCAAGAGGTCAGGCAGTGAGGGCAGGGAGGCTGTTAGCACAGCATCGAACGAGGAGTGCTGCCCCCACCTCTTCAAAAGCCACCTTGGCGAGGCATTAGCTAAACATCTCCTGGTCCCCAAGGCTTCCCCTGTGAAGTCTGCTGTGTTCAAACGCAACCAGAAAATCCCCCCAGACCAGACAGGGATTAGCTGCACGGGCAGGGGGGTGGGGGGGCGGCGCAGCGGGCGGATGAAAGCAGCTCCACTGTGCAGGGCCCGGAGGGAGCTCACGAGGAGACAGCGTACCTGTGAGCAGCAGGGTCCAGGGGGACAGCAGCAAGCCCAGGAGCCAGGGGGCTGTCAGGGCGCCCCGTGGGGCCCCACGCCGCACAGGCCGGCTCTCCATGGGGCCTCCTGGTCAGTGTCTCTGCTTCCTCTTTAGTTCCCAGGAGGGGACAGCTGCTGGCGGCCACAGTTCCCCTTCTCGTTCCCACCAAGCTCCTCCCTGGCCACCGTGCTTCCTCAAGGCCTGTCTCAATGACCCGCCTCAAGCAGTAGGAACAGCCCCCGGCAGGCAGGCGCCAGGTGAGGCTCTGGGGCTCTCTCTCCTTCTGCAGAAGAGCTGGGCGGGGCCTAGACCTCCCAAGCCACCATGTGGGTGGGCTTCTTCCCTCCTGACCCCTTTCCAGCTGGGGGCCGGTCCAGAAGACACGGGTGACAGAGGGAGCACAGATTTTCGAGAGGAACTCCAGGGCTTGGTTTAGCTGCTCACTCCTGAAGCTGTTTAAAAATGTCCCTGCTCACACCAACTTCCCCTTGGGAATAGCCCAGGAGCCCCCCGGTGATGTGCTCATCAACGAGCAGGGTTGGGGCTGAGGGGTGCCAGTGAGTGGGAGGATCCAGGACGGAGCAGATGAGTGACGGAGGAGAGGCACACATTCCCAGCCCCACATGGTGCCACAGCTGGTCATTAACCCAGCTAGGGCCACCCTGGGTCCCCACAGCAGCCCAGCAGATGCCTCCTCCCCAGCCCATCTGAAACGTCTTTCCTCCCTGTGGCTTCCCTAAACCTGAGCACACCCCTCCCCCACCAGGAGACGCATGAATTTCTTCCTCATCTGGCTCTGGGCAGCAGCCCAGTCCTCACAGCCAACAGGCACGGACTCAGGGGCGGTAACTTCTTGCAGACTGGGAGCCCTTTGCCCTCGGCATTCTGGAGCCCAGCACAGGGCTGAGCTGGATGGGACAGGGGTCGGGTGCTGCCTAGGTGACTGGAGGCGCAGAGGGAAGGGGTGGCGGTGAGGAAGCCAGCGTGCTGGCACTCAGCAAAAGGGGGGTCATAGGTGGTTAAGTTTCATATGCTGGGCGCTTCACCTCCTTTCTCCATTAAACAAGATAAATGTCATTATCCCAATTATGTGAAGGAGGAAGCTATGCCCCCCAAGAGGCAAAGCAACTTGCCCAGGATGAGGGCAGATGCGTGGGGTCAGCGAGTAATGCCCAGCGGTGTGAGGCCCCAGTCTTGCCCCCACCTCCTGCTGCAGCCCCCACAAACGGCACAACAGGGTCCAGTTCCCTTCCTTCGAGCACACTTCTCCCCTCCCCAGGCTGCTTTGCACATGGACGAGGAAAGCCAGAAGGCAGTGCCCACCGACGCCAGGAGCACCGGGCGGACAGCGCAGGCAGGAGCGGGATGGCCCACCAGGTGAGGAAGACATGTGAACGCAAGACCGTTCCCAGCAGCTGGGGGCCGAAGGGGACCCCAGCGGTATTGACTGTTGATCCATCACGATGATACATGATCGCACATGCCGCAGTGAGACACAGATAATCTGCTCCGCGCTGTTTCTGAGCTCCTGGGGGGAGCAGGTTGTCTAAGCACTGCGATGCCACGGTGATAGACGGCACGTTAATGCCTCTGTGCGGGAGGGAGCGTTTCAAAGGCTTCGGCCTGCGCCTCCAGGAGTCTCTTTATGACTTGGCATCAGGAGGCGGCCAAGTGCCAGCCTGTCTCAGAACACAGACACGGGCGCCAGCTCCGCTCCTGCCCATCACCCCGACGCTGTCCGCCGCCCCCCTCCCCGCCACACAGCCTTCAGCCCCCTCGCATGGCAGCCACGCGCTCTCCTGTCCGCAGCCCTGGAGACTGGGAGTTTGGCCGCCTCTGGGCCTGGGTCCCACCCATGGCCCCCTGCCTGTCTGGCGCCTCCTATTTGTCGGCCTCCCTCCGACAACCCTATGCAGAGCGCAGGGCCTGCACCTAGTACGTGCTCAGTAAATGCTAGAGCATGAATGGATGGGTGAATGGGTGTCAGGGGGATCCAGCGCCTTCCTCCCAGGCTTGCGGTGTAGGTGGGTGTCTAACAGCAAGCCTGGCACACAGTAGACTCCCAATTGGCTTCAGTGGGATGGCAGGACCCGCCCCAGGCAGGCCCCTGGGCTGGGCAGCACAGGTGTGGCAGAAAAGGAAGAGGTGGGTGCGGGGAGGGGACTGGAGTCTCAAGTCACTGATTTGTTTCTGAGCCCCTGGGAGCCACACAGCCACAGCCTCAGGGGAGGGGCAGCAATGGGCCTCAGCAGCAGCCTGTAGGCCCAGGCTCTGCCATCAGGGCCTCAGGAGCCGGGTGACAGGAACCACAGCGCATTCAGGAACCTCAGTTTCATCAAAACTTTCCATCTCTTGCCCCTGCAGGTGTGGCTCAGTGGGTTGAGCACCGGCCTGAGAACCAAAGAGTTCAGTTCCCTTTCAGGGCACATGCCTGAGTCATGGGCCAGGCCCCAAGGGAGGGGCGAGCAAGGGGCAACCACACATCGATTGTTTCTCCCCCTCTCTTTCTCCCTCCCATCTCTAAAAATAAATAAATAATTTTTTTTTTTTTAAAAAAAAAACAACTTTCCATCTCCTCTCCTCCTAGAGGACGCGGAGCAGTGAACGCGCGGGACTTGCATCTGTGAGCATGCCCTCCCCACGCCCTGGCGGGAGCCAGTGGGAGAAGGGGCCGGGGACATGGGCTCTGCTGGCAGAGGGAAGGGGGCAGCCGCCGGGCCTCCACGGCAGAGTCTGCAGGGTCCCTGGGGGACAGCGCGTCACAGGCTTGTTCTCGTCCAGGCCCCTGTCCACCCGTCCACCTATCGGCTGTCCCTCACACGGTGCTGAGCGCCTGTTTGCACCAGGGCGGGAGCAGGAGCCCAGCACAGGTGAGCGACAACACCTCAGAGCAGCGCCTAACGCCACCAGATGCTGTCAATCAAGTCGATGTGATCCTCACTGCAATCCCACACTGTGGGTACGGTAGTCACTTCCTTTTTACAGATGAGGGCACTGCAGCACAGGGAGGTTAAAATCCAATTACCCGAGGTTACACAGCCAAGAAATGTGTCCGGGGGGAGCGACTCAGGATGGCCCCAGACTCTGCGCTCCCAACCACTGCTCCGGCCCGCCTCAGTGGCAGAAGTGTATACAGAGCAAAGAGGAGGGCTTCATGGAGGAAGTGGCAGCCCCGAAGGAGGAGGAACTGGGGGAGTCCGGACGGGCCTCGTCCACTTAAAGACTAAAGCGTTCCAAACTGGACCGAAAAGGTTCTTGGGGTCCCCCCGCAAGACCGTTAATAACTAATAACGGTTATTAGTTTAGTTCCCACATACACTTGGTAAGTGCCTACTGTGTGCCAGGCCGTGAGTGGAAGTGCAAGACGTAAGTCATAGTTTTGCCCTCAAGGTGCTCCCTGTCTAGAGAGGAAAGCAGACGCGCCCACACGCACCGCAGGCAGGATCCCCACCCGTCCCAGGGCGCGAAGGAGGGCGAGCGAGGCAGGCCCTGCCCGGCCATGGCAGGCTTCCGACGCCCACCTCCTCCGCCTCTCCTCCCGGCTGCACTGCGGGCAGCAGATGCACTAGGAAGGGACCGCTCTCCTCGCTCCCCTTGCCAAGGAAAGCTACTCCCTTCCTCCCCACAGACTCCAGCCGCCAGGAGGAGCCCAGCAGCTGGAGGGGCCTCCTCACAACGATCCTGGTGTCTGAGATCCACAGCGGCCCACTCCTTAGGTTCTTGGGGTCCCCACTGCCTGGGGATCTAGGATGGGTTGGTTGATTCCCTGTTCCCTTCTGTCTTCCTCAAGCACAGCTGCACTGGAGAGGGTCAGCGTGGGGATGGCCCCCTCCCCTCCTAGCGACACTCAGGTTTGCCTTCAGGGTCCTCCTTTCTGCACCGGGGAGCAATGGGCCCCTGCCGCACTGGGGCAAGGGCCCTGACCGCTAGACCCAGAGGCGGGACTCAGCTTCTGAGAATCAGCTGTGCCTCGGGTGAAGGAGACCCATCGAACCATGGGCTGGGCCGGCCCGCAGTGGACCAGCCTCTCTGCTCAGAAGGGAGTGAGCTCTCCGTTACCGGAGGTGTGCAAAACCCACCTGGAGGCCACCCGCCCAGCGTGCTGCTGGGGATTCCTGCCTGGGCTGGAGGCTGATCTGGCCCCACCTCCAAGCCCCTTCTGAGCCCAAGCTGCTCTGTGTTTTCCCCTGTTTATTAAGTATTTGTTTCATACCAGACACAGTTCCAAAGGCTTTTTCGTGTGTTGACTCCTTCAGTCCTTACTGGAACCTCAGGGGGGAGGTGTTACTGCCCCTATTTCACAGATGCAGAAACTGAAGTTCAGAGAGTGTAAGCCACCTGCCCAAGGCCACACAGCAAGGAAGCAGTGGGGTCAGGGCCTGAGCTCCTGGGCCGTGATTTTAATCACTGTGCTCCCCTGCAGTGCACTTGATTCTCCCAGCGGAGCTGGTGTCATAACCCTCACCCGACGGAAGTAGCAATGGAGAAAAACAGGGTGGGCGGTCTGCGTGGCGTCAGGGCGGGGATGAGAGGAACACCTGGGACCCGAGTCCAGGGTCTTCCCGTTGGCCGTACCCCCAGGGCTAGACCAGACTTTCCTTGCTAACTTGGTTGGGAAGAGGCAGCAAGACCCAGTGCCCCCACCCTCCTCAGCCCCTGCCACAGCGCTTACAATCCTGAAGCTCTGCAAAAACAAAGGCAGCATCACTCCACAGCCTCGCGCCCACGCTCGTCCTGTGCCAAGGCCTTCTTAGGGTTAGGTCCTTGGTACAGCTGTGTCCCTAAGAGACAAGCACCGACCAGGAGGCACGTCACTGCAGGTCCTCGGCGGCGGGCGCTCGAGTCTGGAAGGTCCAGCACTGACCGCGCCCCCCCTTTCCTTCCGGCCACCAACGGGCAGCCCCTGGTTGTCCCGTGTCAGCAGCGCCACCTGGTGGCCCATGGGGCCGCCCTCACCTGCGCTGTCTTCTTGCCGCTTCTTCACCCTAGGGGTCTGCGGCTGCCCAGCAAGGCCAGGTCAGAGCTTGAGGGGCAAAGGATAGAGTGGCGGAGGGGCGCGGCGGGGAGTGGGTCAGGGCAGGCAGGACCAGGAAGG